AAAATACAAACGTTTTATTTTTGTTTTTGTTTTTTACATATACACTTCAATAATAGCAGAATTTTAGGAACTGTCTTTTCCAGTTTATTCCATATAGGTAAAAGAAGATTCATATATGTTCCTCTTTATTCAAAAGCAGTTCCTCCTCCTCTTCACCCCTTTCTATGTGCCGTAACTTACAGAACGTTATAAATCATGGCTCTCCACAACATCCTCTCTCTTGTAGTTCTTAGTATGTTTTTTTTCTTTTCATATTCACTCCTCGTACGTGTTCTGCATTCCATTTCAGATCGAAACATTGATAAGAATGTCAAGTCGGTTACGCGTTGTTTCCTTTTATTTTTCTTGCCTTTGAATATCAAATTCTTCAAACGCTTCTTCCACATTGTCACAGAAATGTAGTCTTTTTCTAAGGGTTTTCATTTTCCCTAAAGCTTCCTCGTTACACATATGTTTAGTCGATGGTATCCTCAGCTTGCTTCTGCAGAAACACATTTATGTTGCATTAATTCTCTTCTTCATCTTTGAGGAGATTGTCCAACATTCACCGACGTTCAAAGAAATTCTCAAAGCTTTCTATCAAAACCTCGATTCTCTGAGTTACCTATGTCTCCAATACCCAACATCAAAGCGGCTAATAAAGCGTGATAGACATATATAGGCTCCAGTAGGCACTCCGAGGCGGTGTAATGGTTAGCAAGCTTGTCTCGCTAGAACAATTACGAATGAGTAGTGAGTTCGATCCTCACTGGGTACCCCATACTTTCGGTCTTGTTCCACATCTAAGCTACGCTTGGAAAATCACTATATAGTCTTCAGTTACTATTTTTCAAATGGTCTGACATCCGTGACGATGTTTTATCGCTTCGACGTGTTGCGCCACACACGGTTTTCTCGAATATTTTATCATCCACCCTTGTTCTACAGTTGTTAGCCATTTTCAATCACAAACTATTAATAAGTTCGATTAACAAACACTGACTCAGTACGAAAAATTAGAAATTTTGCATCAATAATAGAAGCTTAGTGACATTACATGGAGTGTATAATACGATGGAATTGATTGCATGGATATATAAACCCCTGACACATATGTGTTTTAAGTTTAATGATAATTATTACATTAGTCGTTTTCTTATAAAGAAAGATTCAGTATTCATTGACCGAGTCGCCTGTGCTTCTTTTGGTTGATATTTATAAAATATTAAACATTTTTCCAAAAAAGTAGATCTCTCAAATCCACTCATATCACTATTTTTGCTACATTTTTTTCTTTTAATCATTTCACCCTAAGCAATGGAGTAAAGGCACTAAGACGCATTTGATGTCTGTGAGGGGATTTGACAAAAATAAAACATTATTAATGAGAGAGAATAATAAAAGAACAGGAATTAAGAAAAGAGAATATGACAATTGGTGAGGAATATCTAGCTAGTTTTTTTTTGCTGAAAATGGAACAACATCTTTATTTTGCCATTAGTTTTTATTCCAGTTACATGTGCTATCCATTTTAGTTATTGCTGCTGTTGACGTGACGTGGTTTCTTCTATTTGGTACAGTTCTTTGTTTGTGATTCATTAGTGTTAGTCCTCGACGTTCTAAGAAGGATAGACCTGGCTAAGGGCTATTAAGGCTTTATACGCAAAAAGCCAATTTTAACCACTTATTTGAGAAACAGGTGAAAGTTTAGATTTTGCTGAATGAGCTTAGCCATTCTTATCAATGTTTCGATCTGAAAAATGTATTTAGGAAAATGACACTAGTTTTTTTTTTTTTTTTTTTTTTTTTTTTTTTTTTTGGGGGGATTTTTTTTTTTTTGTAACTGTCAGCAGATTTGGGCAAAACTATTTCTGACGCAATCAATTCTATGTTCAATTTCGTTACATCCTATAGTAAATTTGTTATGACTAACTGCAAGAAATTTGCTCCCACACATGACCTGCAGGTAGTCAATGGTTTTTTGAAATCTGGTGAGCATAGCGGTAATTGGAAGGGCAAAGAGTTCTTCTAGAATGAGTTTTATGTCACACAAGATTCGTAGTGGTTTGTGTTACTTTCAAACGGACAATTAATACCCGCAAACATTTTCTGCTATATCTTCTTCTTCCTCCTTCTTCTTTTCTTCTTTTTCTTCTTCTTCCTCTTTTTCCTCTTCTTCTTCTACTTTGAAAGGCGTCTCTTCATGAGATAGTCGATCAGGTCTCTCGCAACTTTGTATCATTTTCAGTTTTTTCTTCCTGTGCTTCATTCCCTATTCCGCTGCCCATTCATACAATCCCGTCAAGTAAGTGGCTCGTTGCCTTCCCCTGTCTTGAATGTGCCCGGTGAGGCTTAAGTTTTCCAAGCATTCCTTCCTCATTACGTGTCGTCGAAATCTCAACTGTTTACCTTATTCTGATTTTAAGTCTTCTTTGTTGTTGCATATTCGCTTTGACTGAATTTCCAATTACCTTCTGTAGAACATTTCTACTGTTTCTAATTTTTTTTTCATCCTTCGCGAGATTGTGAAAACATTCACTGGTTATCATATAGTCATCCGGCATTCTCTTTGTAACTGTAAAACAACTGAAAAGGAATGAAAAATATCACGCCTCTTAAAAAGATTAAAATTCCACTAGCGCATATATTGAACATATAAAGTAAAAGGCAGGTTATTACCCAACCAATATCAGCCTTTTCAATACGCAGTTCCCCCCTCCGACACCAAACACAAACTCAGCTGTATGCCTGAAAGATATGAAAATGACTCGTCAGCAATATTTTAGGTTTCTAACAGCAATATTGTCTAGTGCATATAAAGTTCAATCACAAATAATCTGGTGAAAATAATGGTAACAATAAAAAAAACCATCAAGAATGACGTCTATGCTACACAATACGTTAACTGATGGGTTGAGCGGCAGCAGCGATGAATTTGGAATTATTTTGATGCAGTCTTCATCGAGGTCTGGTATTCCTTTTTCGTAGTCTTGTTCTTTTATCATTTATATACTAGTAGTTTTCATGCGTCGCTAATTTCTTTCTGGAATTAGCATATTCTGATATTCCTTATCTTAACCGTAACGCCATAATAATTTATCAACATGATCGAACCCAAGAAATTTGAACAATTTCTGCTGAAACACCTTTCCTACCCTTACATATCTACTGTATAATTTATTTCTACAGACTTGCTATCTCTTTTCTCGTAATCTATCATTTTCTCCTCTCTCTTCATATTTACCATTTTTTTCATCTCAGCCTTTGGTATATTTATTTTATTATTATAATTATTATTAGTAATAGTAGTACTAACATTTTTATTTCATTATTATTATTATTATTGTTAGCAGTAGTAGTAGTAGTAACATTATTATTTTAACATTACGTTTCACGTTAACATTATTATTCGCACTAATTTTAGAAGAACAATATTAATTGACACGGGACAGAATGGCAACAACGGAATGTTCTCCTGAAGCAAGCTGAATTTGATGGCGAAGAATGCATGCCATGTCACGTTTTCAGCAGTGTTACAATCGCTTTCGTGAAGCTCGAAAGAATATCGAATATGATGAGCGTTATGAACACACATGCACGTCAAGAATCGCTGAAAATTCTTTTAAAGCCCAGTCAAATATCAGCAGCTAAATTTCAGATTGCATTTGGTTTGCACGTGCTGTTCACATACACCAAACATTTACGGTTTCATTTCATATATACATAATATATTTCATATATATATATATATATATATATATATATATTTGTGTATGTATGTATATGTGTGTATGCGTGTATGTGTGTATATATTAATAATAACACATTCTTCTCATCAGCAGTAACACAACGTTGCTTATATACATGCACACACACATACACACACACACACACATATATATATATATACATGTATGCATATAAGCTATGTATATGTGTGTGCATGTATGTATTAATAATAAATACTCATTCTTTTCATCACTAATGGTACAACTTATATATATATATATATATATATATATATATATATATATATATATATATATATATATATACTCGATTCTCCTGTCGAATTCGACGTGTGAGGGTCAAGCATATCAGTTCCTAGAAACCGACCCCAGATTTGATTATGTTTTTTGTGCAGAACCATCCAAACCTTTTAAACGGCTGAATACAGAATACACTACGTCCCCTCCGCAGGCTTTTTAATTCAGAGTTGTCCTTCTCCTAGACCAGTTACCATCAAAGGCTATAGAACTCAGTCTGTCCTCTTATTTACCCATAGCTGGAGGGTGAAGAAGAGGATCCATACCTTTCCAATGGGTATTAGCATGTAGGTGAATGTAATGGGTTCGACTGGAAATCCAACTCGGCTCTCCGATTCCTATATATATATATATATATATATATATATATATATATATATATATATATATATATATATATATGAGCACGTTCAGATTTTATAATACATTGTGAAATATTTTTTGTATGTCAATTTCATCATTTGCAAATATCGCGGCTTCGCATCTCGAGATTTGTTACACACACACACACACACACACACACACATATATATATGTATATATACATCTATCTATCTATCTATCTATCTATGTATATATATATATATGTTTTATAAATAAAGTTTACGTTCTAACAGGATCCAGTATTTAGTATTAATTGTGATTTTAAAGGTAAAAATGGCGAAAATGATATTCCTACTTTTATTTTGGCTTCGTGATATACGAAGCTAAGCGTAAAATAATTTGAGGTCCCTTCCCGTTGAGAAAGGCTAAAACATCCACGATCGCTGATCAATGAATGAAAAATACATCTCTGCGTCTAGTGTTTTTTTTTTTTTTTTTGTAGTGGGGTTTAAACTGCCAAGCAGGTGACCTCCAACTAAATCCTAGGAGCTATAATTCGGAACTGACGGTTGCCTCTTTTGACCTATGAGCTGAATCAGTGACGGATTGACTTCCGTTTTATTATAGTGGCATTTTGCCAGACAAGATTCCCTACAGGTTTTCCCGAATGTGAGATGCCAAGTTGCAGCAACAAACAAGTGAGGATATAGAAGAAAGAGAGAGAGGAAAGGGTAAAAAAGAGATGCAAATGAATAAAACAAAATGGTGAATAAAAGAGAGATAAAGTAAGAAAGGAAAAGAGAGAAAGAACTGACAAAGGTATCTTAGAGAAAGAAAGAAGGGAGCCGATTGAAAAGAAAGAATAAAAAAGGTAGGATGAAAGAAGAAAATTACGAATGAAAATGAAGGAAAATATGTTATAAAAAGCGACATAGAAAGAAAGAATGAATGAATGAAACTAGGCAAAAAGAAAGAAAGAAAAGAGGGACGTGAACGAAGACGGGGTGAATTAAAAGAATAAATACACGAAAAAGAAAACATGAGAAGAAAGAAAGAAAGAAAGAAAGAAAGAAAGAAAGAAAATAAAGACGTAAAAGAGCAAAAGGAGAAATAGAAATCAAAGAACTGCACGAAAAACAAAAGAGGAAAAAGAAAGAAAGAAACAAACAAACAAATAAACAAAAGTAAAAGAAGACAGAAAAAAGAACATGAAGAAAAGAAGAATATAAATCAAAGAAAAAAAAATAGACAGAAAAGCAAAAAAAAAACAAACAAAACAAAAGGAAAGAAAGACAGAAAAAATGAAGGAAGAATGAAAAGACGGACATGATCAATGATTGAATATAATTAAATAATTATACAGAAAAACATAAAAAGAGAGAGACAGAAATAAACAGAGAGAGAGAGAGAGAGGGAGAGAGAGAAAATAAAATAAAGGAAGACAGAAAAGACACACATGAATAAAGAAAGAATAGAAATAAAATAATTAATATACGGAAAAACAAAAAAAGAAAGAAAGGAATGAGAAAAAAATTAATTAGGAAAGAAAGAAAGAAAAGGAAAACAGAAGAGTCGTACATGAATAAAGATAGAAGAGAAATAAAAGAATAAATAAACGGAAAAGAAAAAAGAAAGAAAGAAAATAAAGGAAGAGAGAAAAGAGGAACATATATAAAGAAATAAAAAGAAATGTACGAAGAAGAAAATAGAAAAAGCAAAGGATCAAACAAAGAATGAAGTATATAGAAAGATAGATAAAGGAAATAGAAATAAAGAAAGTAAAACTCAGTTAAAGAAAGAAATATGAAAGAAAGAAAATCAGGGGAAAAAAAGAAGAAATATAATGAAATGTTACAGACCAAAAAGGAACGTGGAAATCTCAAATAAATAATAGAAAGAAAATAATTTCCTTAATTGTAAACTTTCTGAACTTTAAATAAATTTATTTAAAGCTGATCATTTTCAAGGATCAAACAAAAACTGAAAACAGCCAATGAAAAAAAAGGCATATACTTTTTAAAACTTAAAATAGAAAATCGACAAAGATGAATCTTTCTAATTATTTTCATTCAAACCACATGGATTTTTCCTTAATTCCATTTATCCTTGCATCTTCAGATCAAAACTTTTAAATTGATGTCGTGCATGGCGCCAAACTGGATTCAGAAATATCTAAACTGTCGGTTGTATACAACACCTTTCTCTAAACGATGATTAAGAATGGCTTCAAGTGAGTGATGCGTGTCGGCTCTTAGAAAAGGATATCCTCCTCCGAACCTCGTGATCTGGCCTTACAGATTCACAAACTGTACGAAATGACAGGAACCACAAAAAGACAAAATAAAAGTAGGAAAATCTGCAACAAATAAAATGATCAGCAAATGTAAATCAAAGAAAGAAGAATGGTATAATAAAGATGGCGACATTCTACACTACATTGACCGAAAGGCAGGGACGGAAAACCTCATCAATACCGAAGAGGACATTAAAGCCTAATGTACTTGAGAAAGCTATTTTCCAGAAAAAATCCTTTCAAAGTGGTTGTGTGAATAATGCAATGGTTATGAAATCAGAAACTGGTCTGTGTCTCTGAGATGTGGGTATTATCATTATATATATTCTTTATATTATTCGGAATGTTATCCTCACCTTCATTGCCATATTCACGACGTTTCGGCCGTTGTACACTCCGGCCTACTTCAAGCGATATGAAATTTCGAAGCGAAACCTTTATTTCGTCCATCGAGGTAACTTGTTCTAGTTCCACATGAAATGCCTCTTCCAGATGTCTCAGTTATTTCCCTTTAACTCAACTCTAAGATATTATATATATATATATATATATATATATATATATATATATATATATATATATATGAAGGAATAGAATCTTAAGATGTGCTATATTTATGGGATAAATTGCTCAATATCAGAAATAAAGCGTGTGTAAATGCTAGATGCAATCGTCAGGCCACCCTGACCGTTGTGGCCTGACGATTGCATCTAGCATGAAACAGACTGTCGCCTCTAAGTTCTGACTTCTATGTTCACTTATATATATATATATATATATATATATATATATATTATTATTATTATTATTATTATTATTATACTTAAAATTATTTACATGTTTTGGACTGTTACCCTCATCTTCATTTCCATATTCACAACGTTTCGGCCGTTGTACGCGTCGGCCTACTTCAGGTGTTTGGAATTTCAAACCGAACAATTTATTTCATCCACCGGGGTAGATTGTTCGAGTTCCACGTGCCACGCCTCTTCTGCGTGTCTCAGTTATTTCCCTTTAAATCAAGTCATTGGGTTCACTACTGCTGTAGCCTGGTATTGAACTCACAATTCTTTGGGTCTAGTCACTAGATGTAACCAACGCCTTTATCCACTGGGCCATGTGACCTTGAGGTATGGCACATGGATCTAGAACAATCTACCCCGTTGGACGAAATAAAGGTTTCGGTTCGAAATTCCAAACACCTGAAGAAGGCCGGAGCGTACGACGGTCGAAAATTTGGGAATATATCAATGAAGATGCGGATAAGAGGCCGAATAATGTAAAGAATGTAAATAATCAATGAACAGGGTTCAAATTCTGGCCTAATGTTCTCGGTGAAAGCATTAACCTTTTACTCTAGCCAACAACTAGTGGAGGGAAAGTCGCAAGGTAGACTGGGCGCTATAGAAATCGGTCTAGAAAAGGAATAACTATGAATTCAAAATTTTCAAGCATTAGTGGAAAATCACTAACATGATGACATTGCAATTCATGAATAATAGAGAAGTGAAATGTGTGGAGAGACAAGATCAATTGTCTAAGACTTGAAAGAAAATGGCATTAAAAAATGTTCAAATCAATCCTTTGGTTCTCTGGAAAGAAATAATCATAAAAGATTCCTTTCCATTCCCACCATACAAACATCGTCATATTCTTTGAAGTTGCTTTTTGTACGTATGTCGGGGGATATTCAACACACTCCCCAATCTCCTCTATTTCATATATATTTTCAGAATTGACTTTTTATCGCTCATCAAATATCAGTTTTTAGAATAAATTATCAACAATGTTTTCTTCCTTTCACCCAAGGGAAAGCAATAGAAATCGCAAAGATGCAAGGGTTTAGACAGAAAGTGAAAAGAAAAACCGAGACAAGAGAGCAGAATTCAAGTGATAGAAGATAACAATTGGCCAAGCGTAGCTTAGATGTGGCACAAGGCCGAAATTAGGGAGCACCCAGTGAGAATCGAACTCACTACTCAGCCGTAATTGTTCTAGCGAGACAAGCTTACCAACCATTACACCACCTCGAGGTGCCCAAGTGAAAGAAGACAGCGATTTTCCAAGCGTAGCTTAGATGTGGCACAAGGCCGAAAGTATGGGTCACCCAGTGAGGATCGAACTCACTACTCAGTCGTAATTGTTTTAGCGAGACAAACTTGTTAACCATTACACCACGCCGAGGTGCCCAAGTGACAGAAGATAACAATTGACGCTGCATTTTGACGATTGTATATGTTAGGAAGTCAACAAACTGGAAAGGTGTTCCTCAAATGAAAGCCGCGCCAGAAGAAATTATCAACATAGAACTTACGTATCTAACAATCAATTTCAAAAGTGAAATTATGAAACGTCGCTGTCAAACAAGCACTAAGCTTAAATCCGTGAAGTTAAGCTACAAGTATAAGCAAACTCATTAATAAAATTACATTTAAAATTGACATATCTGTCAATAAATACTAAAATTTCCCTAAAAATCACAATGTATATTCTCTTGTCCCAGAGGGGATTCAGTTTTGTCGATGATAATTTTTAAGGATTCAAGACCTGATATTTTAACACATTTTAACACAAATTCAAAGAATCCCTTCTAATTATCCTCAAAAAAGAGTCGACAATACTTCAATAATCTAAAAATACTACGGCAAAAAGGTTTTAAACTGTTTTGAAGTTCTTCAAATCAAACGACGATTGAAAAGACGAGACCATTCTTAATCATGGCGCATACGTTTGGAATATATTTCGACCACAATCATTTGAGACACTTGATGCTATAATCTATTTTATCAGCTTAGCATGAGCCAACGGTTCATTTCACATTTTAGGCTTTCTCCAAACTATATTGTTCTATCCTTTAAATTAATTAACATTTCTGTAAGTTTCCACCCAAAATTAAAAAAAACTCATCCAAGACAAGGAAAAACTCCCGATATATTTTCTTTGTTAAGACTTTCGATATCTTAGTCGGTAGACAATAACTGCACTAGTAAATAAACACACACAACGTTAATCGAATATATGTACTCATTAAACGAATGATTCATAGAATTAAATAATTTCGGCTTTAAAAATCCAATTATTCGTTAAAAATTGGGTTACATCTAAAAAAGACGAGGTCAACAAATTATCCATGCGTAAAACGTCATGTGTATATAGATAATTGTCGTATACCATTGTTTCATGTTAAGAAATGTTTTAATATGGTTACTACCAAGTTCCTCTATGTCTACAGAGGAGCATCGGTCGGTAATTTATATTCTGGTTGAAACCTCATCAACCCCTTTTCATTTCTTCCATTATTTACATCAAATATGAAGGACTGTTCACTCGTTTATATATATTTTTTTAATTTACAAAAATTTATAACATGCCGTAAATGTTGCTTATTTTTATCTTCAATCTTCCATAGTTTCTGACAATTTTGTAGCATATATAAAGCTCTAAAAATCTATTTGTACGCAAACATGGATCAATACATTTTAATATTAATATTTATCCAGTATCAATAATACTGGTCAACAAAAAATAAATAAACAAATTAAATGGTGTTGAGACTATTTTTCAACGTTTATAATATAAAAATGAGATTATTTACAGTGGTCAACACGATTTTTTTGATGCCAAGAAACAAAACAGGGTTTTTTTTTATATAATTTGATGGTGCTGATTCCGAAAAGGGTCTTAGTTATTCATGATTAGTTACCATTTTTGCTGTACTGAAATTACTCATTTTCAAAAAATGATCAATTTACGATCTTGGCTGATTGCGAAATTTAGTTAGTAAAGGTCGTAGAAACCCATCTATTTTCAGATAGATTTTATGTCAATCACTTGAAATAAACTATTTTTATAAAAAAGATGTTTGATAAACATCTTTTTAGCTAATTTAAGGGCGATAAATCTGAAAATGACCTTTCTTTTTCTTGGTTTGCTGTACAGAAATGCCTCATTGTTTTTACAAAAAAAGCATTTTTTCATTTGTTTTCTGTATATATGATATTGGCCGATGGCAATATTTCTCAAAATAAAATCATAGAAACCTCTCAATTCGTATTTGAGCCAACAAATATTGATCTTCGTATTGAAAAGTACTATTCTTGTAATAAATATCAGACCCTAACTCTTTAAAAATAACACGATTGAATATACCAAGACCAATAAGTATTTTCATCAAACCATTTAATAAAATAACATTAGAAATAAAACTTTTGTGAATATAAGAACTATGGTAAAAAATTTTCTTTTTCATGATTATATGTCTTGTTCAATGTTATTTAAGTCTCTTGTGATACTCCAAAAGTATCATGTACAATGGAATAGGTGCATTCAATTGGGATGTCTTTAGTTGGAGTTTCTTTCCAACAGTGAACACAAAATGCTATCAGTGTTTTTGGCGTCTTTCCCCAGTGAAGAGATAAAAGCAATGGGATAAGTTTATGAATATCAAACAGAAGATTTTAGGGTTTAATTTTTTATGTCCCCTTAATTATCAGGTTTACTAAAGAGTTTTACTGATAAAGTTCATCACTTAATATGAATTTTGGCGATGAATTTGGAAAGATTCGGTACATCTATTTTAAATTTTTTGACTTAAAAAACCTTTTTTCTTATAAAAATAGTTTATTTCAAGTGATTGACATAAAACCCATCTGAAAATTGATGGGTTTCTACGACCTTTACTAAATAAATTTTGCAATCAGCCAATTGTAATTAATCTCATTTTTATATTATAAAGGTTGAAGAATGGACCAATTGCAATACTGTAGGGATACGGGCGATAATTCAAATCCTAGTAACAGTGTTTTCATTCACCAGAAAATAATTCAACAATCGAAAGAGCATGATTGTTGATTTTATCAAACTACACAATTCATTGTTTCTATCATTTGATTCTCTGTTCTTTATATTTTAGTTTTAATCTGCATTTCCTCAATCAGTATTATTTATGATTTATCCTTGCTTTCAAAAAGATTGTCTACAAACCAAATACTATTCGCCTTTATTCAGTGTTCAATTCTTTTCACTGGACGCTCTTTTGATTGTTTGGATTTTCTTACAAGTGTATGACACCGATGTTGGAACTACTTCAACAAATATTTACTAAGCAAACTTTTCCTGTCTTCATGGCTCGGCTGTCTCTCACATTTTTCAATATGAACGTGAATATTCATTCCAGTTATGCTTTCAGCGTGAATAGAACAAATAAAATATCGGTATGTCCGATGTAACCAAGTCTTTTAATAAATGAATGCAGTATGCATTAGATCGGCAGGTAGAATTTGTCAATACGCAGCTATTAAATAACGAACCCCCCCCATTTCACTCACAACAACTGATCAGGAAACTAAGTGACAATTTCTCAAACTACTATTACGTACATAACACAATTTTCAGGTGTAAAAACTACTCAGCACCTGAAGATTGCAAGGTGCATAAAACTCCTACTCGTGCTACCGGTGAGAAATGATATGTATATTTACTGATAACTATTTTATTACTATTTTAATAGCTCTGTTATATTACATCGAGCACTATTTTATTAAGACCAACTCCCAATGTGTCATATCCTATATTCATATATATATATATATATATATATATATATATATATATATATATATATATATATATATATATGATTATTTATTTGAACATTATAACATAAATATAATATAAAATCACTATATATATATATATATATATATATATATATATATATATATGTAAAGAAAAGAACAGTAAGATCTATAATCCGGTGTTCTTATAGATATTTTTTTTTTTACAAAATAGTGCTCAATGTAAATTTACAGAGCATTAATATTATAAATTAATTGATTTAAAATATGTTTTTTTCGCTACACAGTTCTAATCATGTTTCAAAAATAGAAGCTAAAGCCCCGAATTTAATTTTGCAATTAAATTAAAAGCATTAGTTCCATTTCATCCTCAAGCGAATTGGAACTAATGCTTTTAATTTAATTGCAAAATTAAAACTTTTATTTTTCTTTTTGAAAACATGGTTAGAACTGTGTAGCGGAAAAACCATAATTTAAATCAATTAATTTATATATATATATATATATATATATATATATATATATATATATATATACGTACGTGGTTCAGACAGTTGTCCTCATCTTTATTGTCATGTTCACGGCGTTGCGGCCGTTTTAAAGATGGGTAGCATTAGAACAATGTAAATAATGTAAATAATTACAATCCCTCATCTAAAAAATATAGGCAGATTATCTATCTATCTATCTATATATATATATATATATATATATATATATATATATATATATATATATATATATATATACTATTCAGGCACCAGCTTTGCTTTTTATGCATGTTGCATTTAATGTGACGGATATTGAATATTAATGAATGACAAATTGCAGCAGGATCTAATTGTAAAAAAAAACATTTAATATTAATTAAAGCAATAAAAATCAAGTCTCAGTTTGACCTTTTTTTGTAATCGTAAAAAAACTTGTTGGCAATGTTTTAAGAGCAGCACTAAAATTGAATTCTGACTAATCTCATGTAGTTCAATTCCTACAACTCTAACATAATGCAGCTTAGAAAATAAAAACCGTAAAATATTTTAACAATGAATCACTTGAAACTAGCTAATGGAATTAGTTAAATTGCTTGGGATAATAATTCCTACAAAGAGCTTCTACACTCTCTTTGGTGCCATAAATTAACAAAATAAATAAATAAGAACATACAAATTGATTCCAAAATTATATGCATACATCCATCCGTAAATTTAACAAGATAAAATGCTCGTTATTTTTTTTAAAATAAAAGAATGAATGAAACCAAACTTATAGAAACGAAATCCATTACCTGACCTAAGAACTCTATCATAATTACATAACTACTTCTAAAATATAATAACAGACATAATTAATACAAAACAAAACGAGAACAACCTAAAGTTTAAAGCAGGAATTTAGTTTATAGCTCGCATTGATTGCCACAAGGAGTACATAGGAGACTCTTTGAAGAATTAAAAAAAAAAGATTATATTAAGAGAACAGAAATCTTTTAAGAGTTAATCGTTTTCTCTTGTAATTACAGTAGCATTTTTTAAATCAAGATTGTAGTCATTCTCATTTAGATGAAAAACTAATGCATTTATTGTGTTGCTTTGTAAAAGATCGCCTTTGAATTTATATAATTTCTTGAGGTTTCTTCAGTGTATTCCTTTTGGCAATTATGACATGTCATAGAATAAATTCCTCCTTTAAGTTTTAGCGTATTATTTTGTTTTGTACTAACGCAGTGATTATTTCATTTTTATTTTTATTTTATTTTTTGTTTGTTTAAGACGTTGTTGTGACAAATTTTATGCTGTTCAGTTAACTTTTTTTCAATTCTAGTTGTGATAGATTTAGTGGATAAAACTATATATATATATATATATATATATAAACGTGTCCTCATAGACATGAGCAGCTCTGTATATGTGTGCGAGCAAGTGTGTGTGAATTTACACCTAGAACGTCTATTGATTTATTCGCTTTCAGAAAATATTTTACAGTGTATATTTCATATATACAATAATGGTTTTAATGATACAATCCTTACTAATTATCCCATAGCTGGAGGAGAAGAGGTGTTTTTATACTTTTCCGAATGCTATTTGCATGTAAAGAAATATAACGAACTCAAGGGAATATGGAACTCTGATTAAGTCTCTGATTAAAATTTCGATCCATTATAACACCCACACATCCAAGCTTACAGCACCTGGTATTTCTAAGCTGTCAACCATCTAGATACTGACCACATTCGACGTTGCTTAACTTCAGTGATCTTATGGGAACTCACCGATTAACAATTCCATGCCATTATCCATTACACCACCCACACATCCAAGCTTACAACACCTGGTCTTCCCAAGCGGCCACCCATCTAGGTACTGACCTGGCACAATATTGCTTAACTTTAGTGGTCGTACGTGTACTGGTGTTTCAACGTGATTTGGCCGTAAGCTTAAGTGACTGTCGTAGCTCTGTATTTAGCAAGTGTTTTGAAGAACAACTTCACTTAGATTAGTATCATTATTCTGCAAGATGTAATTAATGGTTAGAAGTATTGTAAAATATTAGTAGTAGTAGTAGTAGTAGTAGTAAGCATCCGTTTATCTCGCAAGATAAAGGTAATACCCTGTTTGGTTAAAATTCAGTCCTTTGGTTGTGAAAGGAGTAATTTCTCCAGTGCGCTGACCTGGCCGATGGTATAGGATGGCTGTGCGTTGCCCAGAATACATAGCCCCTCTCTCGACCGTACTGACAAGATCCAAAGGAATTACATTTAGGGAGGCTTAGCTGCAGGATTGACAGCCAACCCCACTTCGGGACTCCACTTCGTGTTTTCTGCCTGGATCTACATCCATATTCTTTTCCGTCTTTAGATATGACCGCAAGGCAATGCATGTTTAAAATCAGGGTTTTCCTTTCCCTAGATGGGCTGCTTTCCTGGGGGTCGTGCTCCATCTACTCGAAGAAGCTGTTTTCTGAGGCGCCAATTTTCCCGCTTTCGCCTATTCTCCGGTTTAGTTGTCAGCAGCTATCTGAAACGCATGCAAACGAAAGTATTTTACAGACAGTGGGACCTTGTCCCCACGTTAACACCCAACTATGACAACCACTGGAACATCTATAATGCTCGTATGTAAAACGAGTTATGTATAACTTACACAAGTTTCACGAACTTAATTTTATTCTATTTTTAATCTGTTGCATAATAATGCATTTTGGTATATTTTTAAATTTTCTAGCATAATATTTCACTTTTTACATAATCATTGATTTTTAAATAATTTTAAAAATAAATGTATATTTGTGCTGCAATTTTTTAAATAATTTCAACTCAAGCAAGGCAATAAAGCCTCTAAGACGCAAGAGAAAAACATTATTAATTCGAGAGAACAATAAATGAACAAGAATTAAAAAGACAAAAATAATGTGTGATTTAGTGCAAAAATAGGATAACTGTGTAAATTGTCAATGCGTCAGTTGACTAGACTAAAGGTATATTTGACAAATAGTCATAGTCACTTAACGTGTCGGCATTTAATACTCACAGACACACACACACACACACACACACACACACACATATATATATATATATATATATGCGTGTGTGTATGTGTGCTGGCGTGCGTGAATGTATGTGTGGTCTGGCGCTATTTATGGTATGGAATTGCTCGTCACCATATAGCGTTGAGTTCTCTGTCCATAAAGAATTAATATATATATATATATATATATATATATATATATATATATATATATATTATTATTATTATTATTATAAGAGATATATAATAATAAAAACATTTTTAAATCACTACACAAAAGCTTTCATGTTTCAATACAATGATTGTACTTCCTCAGGCGATGGTTATAATTGGGGATATAAAAGATTTTTTAGGGAAATTTAAAAACAAATCGTTACCTCTTTTCCGAAAATTAGAGGCTGGGATGAGTATAAGACCAGAATTTATATAAAGGTTGTTCCAATATCTAACGCGTTTTAAATGTAAATTAATTTAAGCATCTAATGATGTTTTTTCTTTTACTTTCAGATTTAACAACTTAAATTTTTGCCAATTTCAACCATGGAAAGGTTAACAATCAAACAATGTGTTAAATTTATCGAAGCATATGACGAAAATGGACGTTCAAACAGAAATGCAATGAGAAGTTCCCAGCGCGCATCATCTCTCGAAACAATGAAGGCAATTGGCCCCCACGATCGTGCTATTTAACGCCTTTAGAAATCTTCGTTTAGGATCATCTCAAACGTAAGGTCTATGCCATCAAGCCAACAACAATTCAACAGCTGTTTCATTAAAACACATCAAAGTCAGCAGTAAAGAAATCAGTATTATTGGTGAACATTTATCTATTTCTCTATTGGACCATGTTATTTAAGTCATGGCAATTATGAGTGAAAAATTATATCACCCAAATATCCGCCAAGGCTTCGGCGGCACACCTCCACTCGATCTCACTAATATGCTTTATTATCTCATCAACCACAATACAGTGTTGAGTTCTCTGTTCATAAAGTATATATATATATATATATATATATATATATATATATATATATATATATATATATTATAAGAGTTCATAATTAAAAAACATTTTTAAATCGCTACACAAAAGCTTTCATGTTTCAATACTATGATTGTACTTCCTCAGGCGATGGTTGATAATCGGGGTCCCATTCCAACAATCGATAATGAGACCTGTTATCATATCCGTCATGTTCTGACTTCCAAACTTCAGTAATTCACCTGTAATGCCGTCTCGACCAGGTGCTTTACCAGAGTTAATTTGTTTGATTGCCTGTCTGACTTTGTGAAGAGTAGGTTGATTATCCATATGATGCACAATGGAACACTGTGGAAGGCTCTCTACAATTCTGTAATCGACAGAAGAAGGATTATCAAATAGCTTTGAAATTCTCTTCCCATAGTTGAATTATTTCTTTTGGTTCTTTGATGGCATTAGCCTTGCTCTTTGAATTCTATGAGGTAACTGAGGATGTTGATAGACCAAAGACTTGACGTATCAACGAATAGAATGATTTAGAGTCTTTAGTGTTGAAGGCTTGTTGCATATGAGAAGCCATGTTCTTCCACCAAACGTTTTGCATACTGCGTAGTTCACGTTGTAGGTTTGTCAACTGCTGGTTGCTTTTCAAAATTCTGGTTAAGTAGCTTTTTATTTAGAGCGTGCTTGGTTTCCAATAGCTGCATGATGTGAATGTTATTGACATCAAAGCAATCCTTGTGCTTTTTGATTCTGAAACCAAGTACATCGGCCCCTACTGAATATAGCCGGTCTCTAAAGTTCTCCCGGGTACCGTCGAAGTCAAGGTTATCAAGTCTTTTCATCACCGTTGCACATATATCTGATCGCTTTAATTTTGTCCCATTAATACGTTTCGGTGTTTTAACTCCATCCATATTGAACTCTCTTACGAATACGCAGCTTGAATTTTCCACACAGCACTTTGTGGTCAGTTCCACATTCTGCGCTACGTATTACGCGCACCGAAGACGCATCACTTGAATCTCATTTAATAATGATGATATGAACATGCTTGGATCACGGGTGAAACCACGTAACTTTGTGGTTAATCTTTTGACGGAGAATAGTGTTTGAGATGTTTAAATCAAGTTCTGAAGAAAGTTCGAGCAACCTCAATCCGCCTGCATCGATTTTACCAATGCTGAAATGGCCAGTAGCGTTCCAAGTCTGTCAATCTTTGCCTAGACGGACATTAAAATCTCCAAGGATCAGTAATTTATTGCCAGCAGAGATGGTTGTTATAGGAGAGCAAAGAATAGAATGAATCGAGGACTTTCTCTCTGGCCTTTAGGATTGGTGTATAGATGGACAAGATTTTTGCACGTCGATCAAGCCTCAGTGGCACCCGTGTCTTCATAATTCTATCATTCACACTAGAAAGAAATTCGATGCGATTAAGAAGAGATGTTCAGAGGCAAAGCCAACACCACCCTCCCTCTGTTCAGCTCTGGGTTTACCTACCCAGAAAATCGTGAAGCCTGATGATACCTCTGTTAACTGATCCTCTCCTGCTAATCGTGTCTCTGCCAGAGCTGCTATGTCTACGTTCAGTCGCTGAAGTTCCTTTGGAAAGAGAGCGGTTCTACGCTCGGGATGTTCGGAAGAGTTCTAAGAGAGTTCTGACATTCCAGCAAGAAATTTATAGTTTCACCCGATCCTCTGCGTCCATTTTCTGGTGACCATTAATATCATTGTTGTTCTCCCTGCTTTTAGTGAACCACCGTTAGCCGCAGGAGACTAACCAGTGTTGATACGACAGACACTTTTTGGCGCACCTTTTCTAGCACCTTTCCACGTATTTGGGTGAGCAGTGCTCTCATTGAATAGGACTGCTCAGTCGCAAATACCTCCGCCGAAGTGGGCCCCTGTCAAAAATGAAGGCACACTGTGATATTAGGATAAGACTCTGGCCGCCAATGTGCAATTTGTGGCTGTGTGCTTCCAATAGGTTAAGTCTGCACACGTTGCCCTTCATCCATTGCCACGGTTCAGGTGCTCTAATAGAATGGAGATGTCACAATAGTGACAACCACTTGTACAACACGAGTGCCACTCTCTAAGCCTCCACAATCATGACCTGGTGACAAGCAAAGGCGAGATGACCAGTACTCGTTTCAGTCGCGGGATTGTCATCCGAGTTTCCTTCTCTTACATGGGTTGACATAAATATTATTTAAGAGTCCCATCTACCCCGGTTTTGTCATCTGAGTTTCTTTCTCTTAGACGGAATGACAAAACATGACAAAAGAGCACCATCAACCCATATTCTCACACACACACACACACACACACACACACATACATATATATATATATATATATATATATATATATATATATATATATATATACAGAGAGAGAGAGAGAGACTAAATTTGTTATAACATTAACAATGTTATAACAATTTAGTATGTGCGCCTATGTAAGCAGTCGTTTATCATATAACACAGTGATTTTTGCAGTAAAGAGATGTTAACAAGTAAGAAAAAGATTGCGAATGATGCAGACAAGCGAAAACAGTATTAAAAACAATAAGATGCAAAAAAGACTAAACTATACAAACATAACGAAAAACAGATATGTATCCAAGAGCAATACTCTTACACTAAAAGGAATAGATGTGAATAAATTTGCCTTTAAAAAGTGCGAGATCTCTGCTTAGACAGATAGATACATAGATAGATAGATAGATAGATAGATAGATAGATAGATAGATATGAGCAGACTTAGATAGATAGATAGATAGATAGATAGATAGATAGATAGATAGATATGAACAAATTCAGATCGACAGATAAATAGGTACATATAAACAGACTTTGATAGATAGATAGATAGATAGATAAATAGATAGATAGATACGAACAAATTCAGATCGACAGATAAATAGGTAGATATAAACAGACTTTGATAGATAGATAGATAGATAGATAGATAGATAGATAGATAGATATGAACAAATTCAGATCGACAGATAAATAGGTACATATAAACAGACTTTGATAGATAGATAGATAGATAGATAGATAGATAGATAGATAGATAGATAGATAGATAGATAATCCTTGATTATCTGTTCACAAATATTTCTGAATCTCAGCGCCTATCGACTGAGAGATATATAAAGGAATGTAATGTTTAAAGAATGAATTGTGTAATTTCTTTGCTTCCGGTTCTTGGAGATGAAAAGAACCTGCGGCGAAATATTGTCGACATCCAACATTTCTGTCTTGAAAGAGCCTGCAACAAAAATCTCACCAAAGAATTCCAAACCCGCAAAGAATTCGGCTAAACCATGAATATCCCACTGTTTCTATTTCCTCAACATTATCAGGTCAAAGCATATTGGCATTCAGCCAGATTATATATATATATATATATATATATATATATATATATATATATATATATATATATATATATGAAATATTTGCATATTGACCTACATCTGTTCAAACTTATGCAATAATTTCTTTGAGGAAGGGTGCGTGTGTGTACGTGTGTGTGTACGCGTGTGTGTGTACGTGCGTGTAGTGAATTGGCTCATTTAGTTTCCATTCAGACCAATGATTACCAGCTCTGATAATTGCTTTGGGATTTCCAACAAGGAATTCTCTTGACTGATCCGTCGATAGACCTAATCGGCATCTTAATAAATATTCATAAGACAAAAATTAAATAAAAGTATGTGTAAGGATGCAGGATAGATTTTCTTCCTTTAATACTATTTTTGTAATCGGTATCATCCCAAGCAATGCATTACAGGTGGAATTAAGAATAGAAACATTAGTAATGAGGAGAAAGAGAAACAAAAATATCAGGCTGGCAGTAGATATCATTTGACATTACATTTAAATTTTTGCAGATTAAAGTTGGTTGGAAAGCATGAAGCCGGGAAGGAGTTCCACGAACGAGAAATGCGAGAGAAAAAACTATTAGCTTAGAAGTTACGGTTACATCTAGCTATTTCAAGTGTAAATTACGTGACGAGCGCTCAGATGTAGTATGATCCTAAACGAGCTTGTTTTGATAGATCGGTTACGTCTTAGAAGTGAGTTCGATCCTCACTGGGAGTCACATCATAACTAATCTGCGTAAATCTTTATAATACTGGTGTTATAATCAGTTTAGGATGAAGACATGAATCAGAATTTAACAAATACACAAGCAACACACACACACACACACACACACACACACACACACACATATATATATATATATATATATATATATATATATAAAAGTGAACATAGAAGTCAACACTTAGAGGCGACAGTCTGTTTCATGCTAGATGCAATCATCAGGCCACGAGTGCTCTGACGATTGCATCTAGCATGAAACAGACTGTCGCCTCTAAGTGTTACCTTTATATTCACTTTTATATTTAAACACGCTCTATCTCTGATATTGAGCACTTTATCCCGTAAATATAGCACAGCTTAAGACTATATTTCTAATATATATATATATATATATATATATATATATATATATATATATATATATATATATATATATATAATACATAAAAGGTTACTGGTCAGAGTTGAATCAGGCGTAAAAATAACATGTAGAACTTTTAACCAGTTAAATCCGGTTGCGTTGGTTTCAATCTTACGCCATCCTCAGGAAATTTTTATCAAATGACGTTTATTTTATTTTATTTTTTTAAACTAAAGAACGCTATATCATAAAAAAATAATAAACAAACGCAGGACGGCGGGTGTAATATAAAAGGGGAGGAGGATGTTATAAAGGGAAAGAGAAGAAGAGAGTTAAAGAGAAGAAAAGCAAGGTTATTATAAATGTATCGCTTTAATTGAAATTTACAGTTTTTTTTATCCAGCCTCATATGTGCTTACGATTAATTTTCTAATACGTAAGCAAGACTTCGGATAAAGGTTGAAACCAAGGTAGCGGATTCAACTGACATCCTGTTTATATATATATATATATATATATATATATATAGCAAGACTCTTCGTTAAATCGAATTGGGTTCTCTCAGTCACTGTGTATTTATCTAAAAATAAACACGCTTAAATTCACCTTCGTCCCTGCCGTGCGCCAACGAATGAGTCGTATAATCTCCGACTAACGCCAATTCAGTCGGGTTTCGATCCTAGCTAGAGGCAACCAGATGTCTATTCACACTGATTAGCTGTGATACAGCGAAACAGTCTGTATGTAGATGTCTATATATAAAGACATTTTTATGTTTAACATTATTTTTATAGATACAAGTATTTAAGTAAATGTTAAGTTAAATAAACAGTATTAAATAACATTTACCGACCTGAATGTCCGCAACCAGGAATTTATTTCACTCTTCTCGCTAGGTATCATCAGGCTATGTCATATTTCTATATTTGCGAACAGCTCGTTCATTCCGCGATTACTTATGTAGTTAATTTCAAATGTGAAGGCATTTTTACTGCATATCGATGTGTGTGTTAACAAAACTACCGACACATCCCAAGGGTTACACCTACCCAATTTCACTTAAAAGAACTGCTATGGTTTTCTGGCAAAAAAGTGACACATGCCGAGATCGTCTCCCAAGATCAATAACATCGCCTTCATGACAAACAGACCCTGGTGTAATTCGAACGTTCTAACTACTCGGTTTTGAGCGTCCTAGTCTTGATCAAATTGTTACGCTAGATAACACGCTCTTTCCAAGAAACAGTAACTAAAGTATGTTCAGCATAGGTCCAGTATAAACTACAGTTGGGCTCTTTGAGTGTTGAACAAACATAAATGTGCCTGAACTAGCCGCCCTTGTAAACTGGCAGCCTCTGATTCGAGTGTCTGCGCAATTTACATTTCATTATATGTGTGTGTGTGCTTGCGTGATTGCCTGTACGGAGACCCGGATGTGAACATTATCCAGGTGCCATGTTTACAAATCGGTACCCCTTGGTATATGTGCATCCCGATTATATTTCTACTCACCTATTCAATAAGAACTTAAGTTTGGAACTTTTAGAATTGCCAACTATTCTAATTGTTTTCCTTCTGAATAATTTTTACCTTTTTTATTGTTTTTCTTTTTATGGTCAGATTCTTTTCTTTTATTATTCCTCTTTGATCTCATTCCCGCTTCTCCCCAGAAGGTTGAAACTTCATTTGCTAAGGTATTTATATTTTATAGTTATGCTTATTTAAGCTCTTCACAATAGGGGACACTATTAATTAACTTTTTTTTATATGTTAGCATTGTCTAAATATTAGTGATTTTAAATCAATATACATATATTCCATGATTGTAAACTCATGTAGTTATATTTAAGTTGATGGTACATGATAGCTGTCCGCACATTGTACTCTTTCGCCATAAAGACAAAGAAAAAATCTTAATTCAAGAAATTATAACATATAGTCAATTTATAGTGTTTATTAATTTTATTGGCAATTCACAATAACAAAGAAAATGCATAAATTCACTTTCATATGTTTAGGTTTTATTATAAGTCTAATCATCGCTTTTTTAAAACAATAAACATTACCGAGGAGTGAAGGTAGTTAAAATAATAGCGGTGTCAAGGAAAAATCGACCTTTGTATATTACGTTTTTTTGGTTGGCATGAATATCCAAGATGGCCGAATTTTGTTTTCTTGTTTCCAGTTTCACGCTTTAATGTGATCTACAGAGCAAGTGTCATCCCTTCTTTAGCGGATGTTATGCGATGCGCATGTAAGTTGGTACGGAGGGATTAAGGAAAATGGAGGCAGAATAAACCGGCAATTCCTAGATTCTTTTCTTTTGGGATCCTGCTTAGAATTACTGATGGTCATAACTTCTAGATTTTCTTTTCGTGTTTCCAGGGATTTTGCTATATTTTTTCTGGATTTCATTTAGATCTTAACGTAGCTTCGTATATTAGGTTATTTTGTAGAGTGTTACCTTTTAATGGGTATTTGTAATGAACGTATCTTTGCTTATAGCTCGGAAAATCTGCTGCCGGAATCCTAAAAGGATTTGGGCGAATTTTCGTTAGATCCAAAGCATGTCTTTGAATATCGTATGTGTCTCATGTCTACTTGAATGTCGGCTGTAAATGCTGATCACTTCAAAGAGTTTCTTTAGTTTATTGAACCTGCTTAGAATTACTGATGGTCATGACATTTAAATATTCTTTTCATGTTTCCAGAGATTTCGATATCTTCTTTCCCGGGTTTCATTTAGATCTTAATGTCGCTTCGTATATTAGGTTATGTTGTTCAGTGTTACCGTTTAATGAGTATTCGTAATGAACGTATATTGTTGCTTATAGCTCGGAAAATCCGCTGCCGGGATCCTGAAAGAACGTTGGTGAATGTTCGTTAGATCCAAAGCAGATTTTGAATATCGTATGTACTTCATGGCTAGTTGAATGTTGGCCGCAAATGATGATCACTCAAGACGACCACTCATCAGCTAAATGCCGGAAAATGTGGAGAAAATTCATGAACGTATTCTTGAGAACCGTCACAAATAATCCATCAACTGCCTCACTTGAGTGGAATCAGTTATGGAAGTTTGCCAAGACGTCTTCCATGAAAAGCTGAACATGCATCGTGTTACTGCGTTGTTTGTCCCCCGGCTCTTGATAATTGATGAATAGCAACGGCATTTTGACGTGTAACTTGAACTTCGTCAAGAGATGCTGACCAAATTTAAATAATGTATTGATGCAATGTCGTACTTTTTGAAGACTCGTTCGGGTACTTTCCGTTATCCCTTTGTATGCTAAGGTTGAATATCATTTACTAAAAATAGAGGCATCATGTAAAACACTAATCTTTTAAATATGCTTAGGCTAGGTATCTCCCAAAAAATACCATAATGAAAAAATGCCCCAAACTGCGAGAAAAGTTTTATCGTTAAAATGTTTATTATATTATTAAGAGGAAAGATGAATTTTATTAAACTTGTTATTTTTTTATTCATTTCATTAAATTCTTTAATCTTGTCTAGCAAGTTTAAAATTTTGGTTAATCGTTTCTAGCGAGCCAGTGTTTAGTATAGGGATTTTTACCGTTTTTTTACGTTAAAAACACATTTTAAATTCTTGCAAAAATCAAATAATTGTCGGATTTTAATGAAATTTTAAGGACCTAATCACAAATGAATAAATTATTTAATTTTTGTTTCCGAAAATCTTCGTCAAAATATTTTTTACATCTGTTTCCTCCACTTATTTAATTTACGAAATTTCGAGAAATTAAAATTCCATCCATTTCATATTTATATTAGTTAAAGCAAGACTTCTTAGAGAATTTAAATCATCAATTTATTTTTGTCAAGCGGAAACACCATTTACCTAAAAACTGTTGTGAATCATAAAATAAAAAATGCAATAAACCCATTATTTAATTTAAAATCCTAAATAAATAATATATACAATATATTAAGCCTTATTATATATTAAGCCTTATAAATAATATATATATATATATATATATATATTACATTATTTTTAAATTTTGATAAGAAAAAATATTGTTTTAAATCTTTTAACATTCTGTCTTTTATTAATAAGTAAAAACTATATTTACTAAATATAAATAAAAAGCTTATACAAATCATCAAACATCAACATTTTTAAAAGAATTTTGAATTTTTCTTAATTATGAACATGCCGTTTTGTGTAAGTACGGTG